TATATATATATATATATATATATATACATGTAGAAAACGTTTCACAGTGGAATTTTGCCAGCGAAGAGCACAGCTGGGCAGAGGTTTTGTTCTATACCTCCGTTCCAGTTGGTCCGGTCTCCTACTCTTCAGCCGATTTGCCGTGGTGCTGTCGATCAGAATTCATCGAGCCGTCTGGCACTGTGGAACTCGGGTGTTGCAACAGTGAATGCATAAATGTTTCTTTTTTCCCATCAACTTTTTTGAACCAAAATAATTTATTTTATTGTTTTTTTTCTTGTCCACCTCTTTTTTTCTCTCTTTTTTTTTTTTCGGATTGCAACACTTTGTTTATCTAAACGTTTTTTGTTTTGATATATCATGATATTAAATACTGTAATGGCGATTATGGCGATCCATTTTTAATGTTTTAGAATGAGCCTCCTGGATGATATGGTTACTTGGGGGAAGAAGAACGCTGATCCTTTTAATCGTCTTAGCTGTTGCATTGAACCAGTCCTTTTGGTTGTTGAATTTTGCCAGGTTTCTTCACGCAGGCTGATCTGCATTTTTCGAGTTCTGATATTATTCTTGATCACTGTCTGGGTGTGATAGATGCATTTCTTTCTTCTAGGTCCAAGGACCGCGTCCCTTACATTGTGTGCCGGAATCCCCCGGCTCGCACCTTGACTTGGACAGTGTTGCCATATGGCTTATGAGCTCGGAGACCGTTCATGGATCTACGCTAATCCTCTACAACCAGCAAATGGCGTTGTATGCTTGTGTTCACTATTCTTCATTCTTAGATATACATGCTAGAGCATTTCAAGTAATTGCCCCATTATTTTTCGTTCCCTTTTATTTCATCAGATTTTCTTGCAATTTCCTCTTTAAACACTTCTTAGTTATATTTGTGTAGCCTTCGTTTTCTAGCGTCCTGTATCTCTGGCACTCTTGACTGCTACTAAACCTACTGCACTTGTGCTAAAATTATTTATGGACATATCTCGACAGCTTTTTTCCCCGCTGCTGTCTTGTAACAGGCAGTTGTTCAGGTTTCGCTTATTAATACTTGCAAGTAGCTTGATAAATAAACCGCTGAGTGTGCCATTTAGCGAACAGCTTCATTTTCTAGCAACATGCTGACTTCTCAATAATAATTTTAGGAATCATTTGTCTCAGCTAATCGATTTATCGGATTCAATTCAGAAGCAGAATGTTACCCAGTATTATGCTTTATGTCCAAATTTAACTTTATCTCCGACTCGTCTTTCAAAAATTGAGTGTCTCGCTGCGCAGGTAAATTATCAAAAATAGCTGTCGCATTTTTCTGCCTAACAGCCTATCGGAATTGTTGTAGGCTCGTCGTCTCTTGCCTCGCTTTCAAGCAGCCTATCGGAATCTTTCGATGTCTGCAAGATTATCGCGTTGTTCTTTACACTCAGCATCAGATGCTACAGATTGCATGAGTTCGTTAGGAACACTACACAATACGTCACTTTCCCCACTTAGTTCAATAGCACCATGTGTAAAATTCTTCTTGCTCATGATCTCTAGTATTAAAGACTTGCCTCTTCGGCAGTAATTTTAGAGTTGTATATGTGATGTCTATCATATAGGATTTCGCTGCTTTTTGCAGTTATCCCTATTCATTTTGGTTTAGGCATACAGTGACTTCGTTAGATCACTTAAGCCATCCCGGGAACTTTTCATGAAGCTTAAAGAGCACGATGAACGGGGAAACTTATTTTGCACCAACAGACCAATTCTCAGGTTGTCAAGTTTTGGTAGCTACAAATCTGCCGATGACGATGGCTTACTAAGGTTGGAGTTAGTATAAACAATATACATTTTTCATATCGATGTTTTTTTAAAATGAACGTTTTGTTTACAGGATATTATCTGACGACTTTTGCGATAAAGAGCGAAGTCTGAGCTTGATCATAGCGAATCTGTCTCATGTAAGTTCCCATTGAATGCTAATAATTTTTCCACTTTTTAGTTAGATGTTTATTTGACTAATTTGACGAAATTCAGATTTTAAGCACCATATTTGCTGGCGAACGTCTGGCTATATGTGCGTCTGAGCAGAGGATGCCTACTGGTCAAGACTTATTGAGAAAGCTAACCTTGCTCTGCGTTGAATTACAGCCAACCAAACTTTTTTGGAATTTAGATAGCAATTGGTTATTGTGTCTTACTTGAACTTTTGGCAGTTTTTTCACGTTCTATAGCACTGTCTGAGATTATTGAGAATTCTTGTCGCTGCTTCCACCTTCAGCAAGTAGCACTTTTCAGTGTTCCTCGCGATTGCCAAATATTTGGGCAAACATCTGCATTTGACATCCCTAGCAGATGTTTGACTGAGTATGAGGGAGCTGTTATTGATCTCAATACGCAAAGACTGAAGGCGAAAGAATACATTGGTAATACGTTTTGGAAAATTCTGTTGAATAAGTTTGATATATCATTCTTGTATTAATGTTTCGGGGGTGCCGTTTTACACTTTGCTTAACTACTGTTTTTGATGAATTCCTATAGTGAATAGCGTCAGTAGCTTTTTTGGCATCCTCTGAGGAGCTAAAGCCATCAAAAAATAAGCTCCACCACCAGTTTCTCCAATTATAACGTGTTTAATTTAGTCACAGGTTTAAAGAATCTTTTTTTTGTAGGAAAAGCTTTTTCTTCACTGGCCAAAAAACGACCGACCATGTTTCCATCTGATCGAAGTCTTATTGCCCATATAGTTTCATTATTAACAGATTTTTGTGCCATAGTTTATTTGTCGAAACATAAAGGCCCTCAAAAGGTTGCAAATGTTCTTTCATTAGGAAATGGAGATATTAGAATGCTTGTAAATTTGTTGTCTGAAATTGATCTAATTAAATATGGACGTTTAAAAGACAGTCTCAGTAATAACAGTGCTGAAATGAAATCTCTTAAACTGTAACCTTTACTTCTTACTACTTTTATTGATGGCATTGTATCCATGTGTCAAAAATTTTTTTTGCACCGCAAGAGTGTTTACGGTTGGAAACTTGTATTTTTATTGTAATGTACATCAGACATTTTTTTTGCCTTCATTGTTTTCTAAGGTGCTGAGTCATGTACATAGTCTTAACTGTCCTCTTTATTTGGCATATTCCGTGTAGTTAACTTATTCTTTACTAGACTTCGCGAAAGTTATTGTTTTGAATTGTTGCATTACGTGTGTACAGGTTTTATTGAAAAGGTGTAGGATGCCTAAAAGACATGGCATGACAATTGAACAACTGTTTGTATTAACAAAGGTATCGTCTACTTTATCCTAATAGGTTTACATTTTTTACCGCTGTCTTGATTACCAGTTTTTTAAATCTCATTATTTTTCTGACCTTGTTGCTTCGGGTAAAGTGTAATCTTGGGCAGGTCCTGTATAGGCTTTTTTTTATCACTGAGATAAACATTTTTACTTTTCTGCAATGTTTAAGTGCTTACTTGACTAGAAGAAAAATTTTCAGGAATTGGATAAGTACAAGTAACTGTTCAGGTCTGTTTTGCTCAGCAAAAATTTCCTCTCCAGGAACCTAATTTGCAGTGTTGGGGAAAGATGTGGGAACCGAGGAGTTCTTGGTAGGCATAGGAGATGGCCGGGAACGACGCTGGTGTGTTGCTGTTTTGCTGTTGACTACGACCAGGCAGGAATTGTCTAGTGTTGGTCGAACGCTATAAAAGTGGTTCGTTTATAACGAGTTCGTTTACGGTTTCCTGCCCTCATCGATATTGTTGGGTACAACGGAGCTGAAACCTCTCATTCACAGTGTGAGTTTCACCAGCCATACAAGAGTAATACTCATTGAGAAAGTCTGAGGAGCGGTGGTAGAGTAATAGCTGAATATAAACATCTGAGAAAGAGGTCTGTTTCCTAGGAGAGTTGCATCTGCAGCAACCCCAATTTTGAGTTTTGAATTCAGAATATGCAACAATTCAGCAATAGCAACCATCAGTTCAGGCTACAGTCAGTTACTTCAAAGTTGAAGGCTTATAAACGGTAATGAGTCATTATAATTGAATTTATCTTTTAGTTAAGACAGGGAGATGGAAGAGGTTAGCGAGAAGAAAAATAAAATAAATGGTCTAGCAACGATGACCTCACATTGCTTTTGCAAAAAGTGTTTAGGTGCTCAATTTTGAGATATTCTAATAATGCAGAAGACAAGCAATTGAATAAGTATTCTGAGAAAAGCTGCAACAAGTAGTGTGGGGTGTAGTGGGGTATGTGATTTGGAAGTGTCGGTGATGGTAAAAGTAAAATAGGTCGGCTTTTGCTACGCGCGGTACTTGGCGTTGTACTTCGGCTTGAAGAATTTGTGTTGAAGATAATTTTGCACTAGAAAAAGTAAATGCGTTGAAGTGTGAGGTGTACGGTCGGGATAAAAATAACAAATTTCTTTCGTTTTCTGTTACTTTGCTTGCAGTAAAGTTGGAACTTGAAGTGTGGTTAGTGTCGTTGAACTGAGGCTGACGAGTTGTTTGGTTGAGTCGTTGGTACTGTACTGACAAAATCTGTTTGATTATGAGATTATTTATATATAGTTTTTAGACGGGACTGAGAAGAATGCATCCTCTTTTTGAACATATTTATGGCAGTATTTGGAATTGGTGGTGATAAGTTCTATCTCAGTTGTTGCTGGTAATCACTGTCTATTTCGCTGAAGTTGGCTACATAACAGCTATTAGCAACATTATTTTTCCATTTTTCTGTCAGCCCCATACATCTTTTTAAGTTTCTTTCAAAAAATTTGGACAGAAGAATTGCTCCTGTATACCTTACAGCATTGTTTGGCTTGTGCAGAGAACTGGCTTGTGAGGTCATTCGCATCTTATTTTTGTGTTGAAGAATATTTTGAAAAAGGTCTTTTGCTTGCGGAACCACAGCAACGTTTGCATTTGGAAGTTTGTTGTGTTGTTTGCATTACTTTAGTTAGTTTTTTGCTTCTGACTTGTCCAAGTCTGTTTTGCGGAGAGGTTTTTAAAGGTTTTTTCATTGCCGCAATAATTGATAAAAAGAAATTTCAACAGGCAGCTCACTTTTTCGAATTCTTACGAAACTTACTATCGAATTCTCCGATGAGCAAATGATTTCCCAAACTAGTCATCCCTTTTAAAAACGTCACTTATCATTTGGTACCATAATATTGAAGTCACACAATTAAATGATTCAGCAGATTAAAAAAGAATATTTTACTTCTATGAATTTTTTAGCTACGGCCGCCACTGGTACATACGTGAGGTTGCAACAAACCTTTCTGATCGGTAGTCTTATTAATGTGGCATTCTAAATTTTCCCACCTTTAGTTGTCACCTGCGCAGTCATTAACTACGTAGCTCTTTGTTCAGTTTCCTACTGAAACTGATACCGTGATAAGAAATTTTGGAATTCCTCGTTTGTTTGTCATGTATTATTGAACTTTTACGGTTTTCTAATCTCGGATAATGCTTCTTATTTTTATTTCATTTTAGGTGGAACAGTTGCAGTGAACAGTGAAGCTTCATTTCTAAATTTTGCTGGAACCACTGTGGATTTGTCCGGTGAACTAACACCGTTGAACATGTTGAAATCCTCAGAGAGGGTTTCTACGTGACAAACAACTTTTAGGTTAAAAACCTTAGAGAAGTTGCAAGGCAAAACCTTAGAACTTAAAAACGATTTTCGTATTCAGATCTCAGACAATTCTTGCTTTGCTTCCGACTTCTAGATGAGCCATCAGCCGTGAATTCGATACTCTAAGGTTCATCCGCTCTTGAGTTAAGTGAAAGGGAACCGCACAAATCGTCACTGGTTGTGCTACAAAATGTTGAGCCTGTAAGTGATTTACTGCACTTTAGAGATGAGAACTCTGTTATTGTGATTTTTTCCAAAAAAAAAGGTTTCTCGACTCGGTGATAGTTTGTCTCGTGAATCGACTGGACGAGTTGATTGCGTTCCAGGTCGTTTGTGACAACTGCGTTTTCAGTTAAAGAAGTGCCGCTCTGCCGTTTTCTTGACAGCTCCACTCGTTGATATGGTTCTTTTCGTTGTTAATTAGGTTAAGAATAAGATTCCATTTAGAAACAAAGCACGCACATGTTGCGCGCTCCAGGTTGTTTTCTGTTAACAAAATGAATTAGATTTCGTCAACAGAGTTGTTCCAAATCTTTCTGTAAGAAGACATGACCTTTGAAGTCAAGTTTTGGGTTTTTTTACTACAGCTTGTGTTAAAAAGTTGCCTTGGACTAAGCAATAAAATTTTTTCGGAAGTACCTACTTGATTTTTGAGCCTGCTTTTAAGGTGTTGTGAAGTACTTTACAATAGTTTTATATGTGCAGATTAGAAATATTGATTTTCCGGTATTCTGTGGCATAGTGTAAATATGTTGACTGATCCATAAGTACCAAAAACTTTACTCGCACATTTATTCTTCTTTCCCTCTCGACTCCACTCAACTTTTTTTTTTCACAACTGTTAAGTTTCTCCCAACCCAAATTCCCTTTTACGCTTAAAAGTTTTAGACAAGCTAGATGGTTAAAGTGACTTAACTCTAAAAAGTGGCAATTATATAAGCAAGTGAAAGTCATGTGTTGAACGTGCATTAAAAGACTTTTCATTTGCAAAACTTCACATAAAATGCAGGGCGAAACATAGGTAAGGTGCTAACGGATAAAATCGACCAAGTTTCGATTTTTGCTAAATTTTTTACACAAGAAGCTGGTGTTTCAAAAACTGCTAGAAGTGTGCGCTTTTTGTTTTTATTTTATTGTTGGTAGTTTGTTTCATTCAGTGCTGCGTCTTCTCAAGTCAAATTCTTTTTTTCCTTTCCGGTGTCTTTATCTGTCTTAGTTTAGTTTTGAGACGGCTTTTGCCCGTTTCCTAACGAATAGTTCTCAACGCCAAACATTTTTAGTGCCATACATTATTCAGATCCAGTATCTAAAATGCTGAACGTGGATTGAGAGAGTAATAGTTGTTCTCTCAGACTGATAAACTTCTTGACGTTGCATGGTGCTTGATTCTACAACTGTTCTGGGTGGTGACAGAAATTAACCTCAACCCGTGACCTCCAGTATAAAATATGGCTTTATTAGTCCTTTCTAGAAGCAATGTCATTGAAGTTATGGTTTTATTCCTCTAGGCTGCGTAGGACTTCAATCGCTTGTTCAGCATTTGAAATCCTTGCCAAATATGAGGACGTTAGTCATGTCAGTCTTCCACTTGCGTTAGATAATTCCATACACTTTTCTACTACCCTTTTTTTCAACGCTTTTCAGTGTGCTCGTTCAGCATCAACGTCCAGTTAAGAGTTGTCTGAAGTGCCGTTGTAACAAACTCATCTATGAGGAAGACTCTCTAGGCTATTCGGTGAACACCTATTTGGATTCGTTTGTCCAATTTCAGAATACTGTCACACCCCGTCCGTATGACTGCACTCCTCGTAAGACGTAAATCAACTTTATCTAAACAAATTTTTCCATTTAGACGGGTTTGTACTTTTCCTTAAAAAGACCTCGTTTGTTTTTGTGATAAAACTTTGTAATTTTCTTCATTGTTTTGTCTCCCAAAAACTTTCGCTAGTCTGCTTCCTGAGTTAGTGATACAGTAGTTCTAGAGGAAACATATCCCTAATAAATTTATTTTTCTGTAATTCTGCAACAATCTTATATGTGATGGCACCTATGTAGAACTCTCTTTGATTTCTGTTTACGTTATTGTGTTGTTCATGGGTTCGTTTTGTAAGTTCAGATGGGAGAGTTTTTGCTTGATGTTGATAATTCGCTTGGTCTGCTAAGAGGCTCTTATAGACCAGTTGCTCCATGATACATCTGAAAGGACTTCTTAAAAGGCCTGTTCATCACGTGACTGTCACTGTCATCAGGAAGGCGTGGATGACTTATAGCTTATATAGGCACTACAACCAGAGTAACACACCTTTTAGTGAGACAGTGGGCTCCATGATCATGATAATGGTGTAAAGTTTTGCTGCCCACCTAATTGGTAATAAATGGATAGAAAAGGCAGGAGCAGACAGGCATGTCGGTACAATGCAGTGACGGGAGATTCGGGACAGTGTGTCTGATCACAGCTAGATAAATGTTTACAAGAAATACCACACAACTTCCAACTGTATTTTTACACGAAATTTTGACTTATCAAGCAGAAAGTGGCCTTCTCTTTGTCTGTTTAAAGAAGATGACAACGTACAAGAAATCTACTCAACTCTTACGCTTGGTGCAAATTGAATACAAATAAATGCACTGTAAATTAGTCAAACTGTGAACCAGAACTCATGCTAAGAGAATTTGGCAATCCCCACTATACCACACCACTGCAACCAGCACTTCGAAAAACGGATTTGAAACAGCAAAGCAAGCCTCTGCCGTGCTGCCTGTGTACCTCCACCCTCCTGTCCCTCGACTCTCCCAGCAGAAAAGCAATCAGACAACCAAAAAGCTGCGGCTCTTAAGCCATAGATTAAGACCGTCAAGTGTCGATGTATTGCAGTGGAAAGAAAAAGAATGTTAATTCATTTAATAAAAACCACGTTATAGCAAATTCAACTGCTCTTGCATGTGCAACAGCACTTGAAAGATATTGCATAGTGAGC